AATATTTTCTCTGCCTTTTGAAATTTTTCAAATGCCGACTGAGAATGATTGAGGTCGAGTTCTAAACATTTCCAGCATTGATGATATCATGCGAAATTCTCTTTTCCCGAAAACCGCAAACAGCATATTATTTTTATCGCCTAAAGGGCTTTTCAGGTTTCCAACGTTTTATGCTTTCCTGTATGCAATTTTGTCAAGGTTTTCCAGATATTTTCGTATGCTTTCTGACTGGCTGTTGCGTATTCAAATGTCGCAAAGGAGTGAGTGAAGCGGGTTAACGTATACGCAGGGAACCGTGGCAAGTGGTTGTCGTCTTCCTCATTCGTTCTTTGGTATGAAAGTAAATCTTACTAACGATCGTAAGCTAAAACTCTAAATTGAGTCTTAAAAGAGCCAGCTCAGCGTTTTCATGTTCAAAAATGAAAACGCTCAAAAACTCAAATAAAACACAACTTAATATTTTCCAGTTTCGACCGTAGAGATTCAATCTTGTATAGGATAATTAGAGAAATCCTGCAGATTTCCACAAGAACTTTATTGGATTCTGAGAAACAATGCGAAATTTCTACTCGTGGAAAGATAAAAAATCTAAGCTAGTATGATAGTTACTGTAATGCCAAAAGAAACAATGCCGTACTTTTTCTCTCTATTCCTTTTGCTAGAGATATCCTGACTAGGCACCAAGATGACTCGATGTCTAGCAAAGAGTCTCGGCACGTTTCGGCGTTTTAAATGTAACTACGTGATTTATCGGTAGCTTATGGGTGATTAAGGGACTGTGGCTAGTGCATTGTGCCTTTTTGATTACCCTCGCTGCTCGTATCAACCAAAAAATAGAGCTAATGTGTGTTTTCTCTCTCCACTTTGTAGTCGATCAGTTGCTGTGCTGTTCCATCATCAATCAAGCTGAACAGTTTCAGCAACACTCGTCCGTCTTCTCTCAAAGCCTTTTTCACTTCCAATGCTTTGCCTCCTCGAGCAGATATTTGGTTACTTTGAAGATTAAGTTGAGTAAGACTTTTGTTCACTTTCAATGCTTCAGCCAGTGCTTCGCCTCCTATATCAGATATTTGGTTATTTCCAAGATTAAGTTGAGTAAGAGTTTTGTTCACTTTCAATGCTTCAGCCAGTGCTTTGCCTCCTCGAGCAGATATTTCGTTATTCTGAAGATTAAGTTGAGTAAGAGTTTTGTTCACTTTCAATGCTTCAGCCAGTGCTTTGCCTCCTCGAGCAGATATTTGGTTAATTCCAAGGTTAAGCTGAGTAAGAGTTTTGTTCACTTTCAATGCTTCAGCCAGTGCTTTGCCTCCTCGAGCAGATATTTGGTTGTAATAAAGATTAAGTTGAGTAAGAGTTTTGTTCACTTTCAATGCTTCAGCCAGTGCTTTACCTCCTATATCAGATATTTGGTTAATTCCAAGATTAAGTTGAGTAAGAGTTTTGTTCACTTTCAATGCTTCAGCCAGTGCTTCACTTCCTTTATCAGATGTTTGGTTACTTCCAAGATCAAGCTGAGTAAGAGCTTTGTTTACTTTCAATGCTTCAGCCAGTGCTTCACTTCCTATATCAGATGTTTGGTTACTTCCAAGATCAAGTTGAGTAAGAGTCTTGTTCACTTTCAATGATTCAGCAAGTGCTTCAGCTCCTCGAGGATATATTTGGTTACTTTGAAGAGCAAGCTGAGTAAGAGTCTTGTTCACTTTCAATGCTTCAGCAAGTGCTTTAGCTCCTCGAGGATATATTTGGTTGTAATAAAGATTGAGTTGTGTAAGAGCTTTGTTTACTTTCAATGCTTCAGCCAGTGCTTCACTTCCTATATCAGATATTTGGTTACTTTGAAGATCAAGCTGAGTAAGAGTTTTGTTCACTTTCAATGCTCCAGCCAGTGCTTTACCTCCTATATGAGAGATGCGATTATTTGCAAGGCCAAGTCTCGTTAGAGTGTGATTTTCTTTCAACTCGTTTGCGAGTATGACAGAGGCTCCTTCCAATATGTTCCCATGTTTGTTGTTATCAGAGCTGCTCCATTTCATATGCAGTGTCAATGATGATAGTTGTGCCATGCAGGGCAGGTATGACTGCACGACTTTATTCAGTTGTTCTGGGTGGATTGTGTCTAACGATAAGGAGCGAAGGTTGGTCCATGTGGTCGGTGGAAAACGATCGAAGAACAGGCAGATGTATTTGCACGTCTGTTCGCAGAGACACAGAGAACGAACTTGTGCCGTTGACGGAAAGTGTTCGCAGATAAAGCTATATCTGGATTGGCTGGTATCATGAAAGCGTAAGTCAAACTGAAGACTGTCTAGTAGCTGGTCGAAACGTTCACTTAGTCCAAGAAATGAGTATAGAATATCATAAGCGCCGAAATACTCGAAGAGTTCCAGAATCAATTCATTCGGAAGCGATTGAAATTGTGTCGCATCTAAATAAATGTACATTGTCCAGAGTTCAGCTTCTTTGCCTCTATTATGTGCAGACTTTCAAGTACAAAGACAGAGGAATCCGTGCGCTTGCTAGGTAGATATCAGAGCTCCTTATGGACTCAAATTTTTGAGTCTAGTCCAGTCCATTGACTAAACAAATCTAGTCCAGTCCAATCCATGGACTCTAGAAAAGCAGTACAGTCTAGTCCAGTATATTGAGTAAACAGTCCAATGGACTTTGCAAACTTTTCCTCATCGTCAATTGTTACAAACAGCTTTAGCATTCTTTCGTTTCCACTGTCACATCATTTGTTCCTAGGTCGCGTCCACGAGCACTAATTTCACGCGCTCATTCACTGACGTTAAACGATGTCCATACAATATGATATTTAATAACAAAACCAGAACTACAGTGCTTCTTAGGCTAGCACACACAAAAAGTGTTAAAATCTGTTCGAGAGCAAATACATCATTACTATTCTAGAAAGGCGAAACAATACGCTATATAGAATCGCCTTTAGGTAATTCCATGGGAAATCGACCACTTTATACACGACGTTTACCGCAAACTTCGATACCCATGTCATTCGAAAGAGCATGAAATTCTGATCAAGAATATGTGGTTTAAAAAATTTTAAAACATTGGCGCGGTGTCGGGGGCGAGGCCGACATTATTGATTTTTGTCGAAAACGGGGCCCAGAGTCAGAGCTTTTTCTCGATAACCATAGATGGCCAAGGGTTGCTATTAATATCAAATATTCTAATGCATAGTACTATCAAAATGGCATATGTAAGAAAGATTCGAAATGCATACATAGAGGGCAGCACATATCTGAAATTCTCAATCGAGCGAAAACAGACTAACGTAAACAATATTTTCTGACATGATGCTAGAAGCAAAAATGAATGCAAATTAGTGGACTAGAATCAAGTTTTCAAGCCCTATCGAATGGTATAGCTTTTATTTGTTCACGTTATTAGCAATGAGTAGAAATTAAGAAACGTTGACGAGCACTTTTGCAAAAATAACGATTTTCACCAACTTTGCAGATTTGTTCAAGCCTCTCTTCCTACAACTGAACCTCGGCATTTATACTTTCGAGTAATATAGACCAAGGACTATCTCTGGTAAAAGAACGACGGAGGTTATATTTCTAGTTTTCGAGAAATCTTTATCGGGACCCACCAGATTTTGGGAAAGTATGTCAAACATTTTATCACTTTCTCGGCACTAAACTTCAAACCAAATGTCAGATTCGCGATATACGAAAAAAACTGCATCGAATGACATAGTTGACAAATGTTTCTCGAATAAAAAAATTTAATCGAAAATGTTTCGCCTGGGGTCCCCCTCAGACCTTTTGTAGACAACAACATTTTTTGGCCGGAAAAATTAAATTTTTGTATATCTGCCTTTACTGGCAGTTTAGCTAGCTGTATCACA